TGTTACTGTTTTGTTATTGTTGTTTTATTATTGTGGTATTCTCGTGTTACTGCTGTGCTAATGTTGTGTTATGAATGTGTTATGCTTGTGTTACACCAATAACATAACTATAACACAACAATAACACAATAATAACACACTAAAACATACTATAACACATATATAACACATCTATAACATAATTCTAATAACATAACACAATAATAATATGAAATAACACATCTATAACACTATTATATCAACATAGTACAATAATAACACATAATAACACATTTATAACACACAATAAAACATCTATAACACACAATAACACAACTATAACCCGATTATAACACACAATAACACATTATAGCACATCTATAATGCATATTTAAATAACATAACACAACAATAACACAAAATAACACATTTATAACACAATATCACACAATAATACGACTATAACACCACTATAATACTACAATAACACGACTAAAACTTCAACTTTTATTTTAAAATAAACGATGTAGTTACCTCAACGACTTCGGGAGACCGTTAGGTTCTTCTTCGGCTCCCTTGCGACCTTCCATTTTATGTGCTACAATGAGAAAGAAAATAAATCACTAGTTGTTGCAATGAAACGACGAAGTACTAATATTTGGAATGAGTATTGCGTAACCTACATTCCGTTTCCAAGGGTCGAAACCGAATGAAGTTCCACCACCAACCGTTCGAATGGAGAACCACTGCCGCCGAAGACAAACCGCCGTCCGAAGTGCCGAAGAAAGCTGGAAAAGCCGAAGGAGGAAGAAGTCGAATGCAAACCGACAAAAGGCTACAAAAACGTCGAATCTGACATAAAGTAAGTTTTTGTCTGTTTTGGGATTTAATTCGGGTCAGGTTCACGATAAACACACCTATTAAATTTCCCGCGTTGATTCGGGTCGGGTCAAGCTTCTTTTTTAATTTTATATGCCGTGGGACCCAAATCTACTTGTGCTCCACTCATTGGACTCTGCAAGCAACTCATCCTGCGGAGTCCTGAGGCAATAAAAATTCTTGTTAGCACATTGTCGTTGAGGCTTTGACTTCTGAATTTGTGTGAAATTGATTGCTTTTTTTTATTAAAAGAAAACCAGAAAGTAGGGTGTGGAAGAACATAAAATCATATTTTTGTTGAAGTCTGACGTCTTATTGGGTCTCTTTCTTTTTGCAGTATCAAGGGAGCTATTCTCTGAGGCATTGGCTTCAATTATCGGACTGGCTTCCTACCTTAGAGGCAACTCTAGCTTTGGATGAAGAATGGGTTAGGCGGGTTGGGGATGACACCATAGGAGGGCCTGATGTAACTCGGCAATTGCGCCTTATTAGAATAATTATGAGAGATCTTTTAATTGGTGTAAGGACTTTTTTTTTAATCTAAATCAGTCTGATAGACAAGCGTCCTGCAGGGCTGCTTTAAGTTTCACAAGTGTTTGCTGTTATTTCTCAGGTAAATTACTTGCATAGCCATGGATTGGCACATACTGAGTTAAGACTGGAGAACGTGCATATTTGTCCAGTAGATAGGCATATTAAAGTACGTTCTTTACTTTCTTAACCAAGTTTCCTTTTATTTTTTTTGTTTTGTGCCTTTTGCTGAAAGTCAATGTGTCTGGTTGTTTTCTAGCACCTTCAAGTACCTTCTGCGGGGATACTGATATTGTTAGACAGAATACACGTAAAAATTCTTTGAGCTTGCTTTATTAGGTTTGAGGACATACAATTTTTAAAAAGGACGGACATCATTCTATACATCTATGTAATAAGATCTCTAGAATTCTCCATTTTTATTGTACGATAGAATAGTTACACTAATTGCTTAACATGTATTTAACTCCAGAATCACATTTTCTCTTGTAATGAAAAACTGAATCAATCCACGGAAAGTTAAAATGCCGTGTTTCCATTTGCTATACTTTCCCTTCTCGTTTGAGTTTGCTACTTAACTTTGACTTTAGAAAATATACTGCATTTTGATTATGATGTCTTTGAAGATTAGGTAGCAATCCTATAGGTCCCAGATTAGTGCAAAATAGGGTTTTTTTTTTTTTGGAGCTATTTGGATTGATGTTGAAATATTAGTGGAGGCTTCATTGTTTAGTGGACTTCGGAAGATTTTCTTGTGTACAGCTTTACGCATTGTAATTTTGAAGTTAAATTTACTCTTCAATTTTGCTGGAGTAACTTATTTCATAAGTAATCGGTGCGAACTGAGTTGATGATTTTTCTGGTAAACTTCTTTCCTTATTTTGTGGTGTACATACTTGCTATATTTGCATGGGAATTTTATACAGTTCTAGCTGTGCATGTCATGTCATGTCAGCTCGCGAGGAGCTATACTTGATTATGTATTACTTTTTGATTCTACAATCACAAAATTATACTCTAAAAAAATGATAAATATTTAAATTGCTTTTAAAAGAGTTGCCACCAAATCCCAACTAGTCCTTTTTTTACTTGGGAGGAAAGAAAATTACAAAATGATTTTAAACTGAATCTTGGAGAATGCTTTATCACACAACATAGAGTCGGGATTATGAATTTATTCTTTAGGTTTATAAAGAAAGTTATCAAAAGAAATAGTTTTCTTTGGAAAGTATGGTAGAACTTAAAAATCGAAAAGTTAGTAATATTGCAAGATATGTTGTTAGGGTAAGCAAATGCGACTCCATAGTGAGCCAAACTTGATGTAGGATTATTTACCTCATTTCACTTAAAATATTACCAAGCTTTGAAATTAGAATGTACGAAAGAACTCGTGTTCATTGAGTGAGGACGCATAAAAAATATATTTTGGAAAAGAAATGTTTTTTTAAGAAGTAATAAAAAATAATTTTTTAAAAAATGATTATAAAGAAACAAGAGTACCAAGTAAAACAAAAGATATATTTTTTATGATATATATAATAATTAGGTTTTAATGGAGGAGAAAATAAAATATTGGGATAGTCTTAGGAAGATATTGTGGAAGGGCATAATAAATAGAATATTGGGCTACTTTATAAATTGATTAAGAAAATGAAGTTTGGACTGAGAAAGAAAATTTCTTAGGTGCAGATAAGACACCTGTTGAGATTTATGGAGTTGTTAGTGATATTCTATAAAAACTCTTAATGAATGTTTGAAAACTAAGAGGTTATCAAATGATAGTTGAAAACCTATTTTAGCATCAATTTTAAGGACATAGGAGATTTTTACAATTATAATAATTATAAATAAATCAAACTTCTTATTCATTCAATAAAATTTTTGGTCAGAATAATGGAATGCATATTTAGAAATATGATGTATATTTTAAAGAATCACTTTGGTTTTATGTAAAAACGTATTTAACGTGGAGGATATTTTTGTGCTTATGTGATTAATGGAATATTATAGCGAGCATTAGAAGCTCCTAGATGTTATTTTGTTTATCTTGAGAATGTATATAAGTTTGGATCTCTATTACTTTGCTTACAAAAGGATGCTCAAAATGAAATACCATGATAATTTGAAGTATTATTTCTAATCGGCGAGATTTATTCTTAGTCAAGTTAGTGGGAAGTTAGAATAATGGAAAAATTGTTTTGAAGCTAAAAGGCTTTGGATTATTAGAACAAAGCCTAAGTTATATGTTTTTGAATGTTAGACATAGAAGACAATTTGTCCGCTAAGTTGGACGTTACAAAAGGAAAAATTGTGAAGTGTATGTGTGACAAAAATAGAAATGATGGATTGCAAAATGATTACATTAGAGGTCAATGGGAGTAACATTTATTAATGATAAGATAGTGAAAAGTGGATTTAGCTATGTTTATGCATGTAATATAAAGGATAGTAAATTCCGAAAGAATATGGGTATATAAAATTAGTTTCAAGTGTTTAGTAAAAAAGGTAGACTAAAAGTAACATAAAACTAATGTCAAAAGAGTAGGAAGAAAAATGATAGACTGAAATAACATGCATAGAATTTTCGCAAAAGGAGTTGTTCTAATTTGTTTTATTAGGAATGAAGGGAGAATGATGATTTATGAAGCTGACTCCAAATGGCTTGAATAAGGTAATGATGATGAGCAATATAAATTGATAGACATTTCTTTTAAACATTTCTTTTAATGAAACTTTTGTTATTCTAGCTTATTTAATACATATTTACTTTCTAGTGTAATGACACATTCGATCTATGGAAATTAAGCAACTCATTTGGTCTAAGAGGTGGAGTTCTGTTGTAAGGCAACATGGGTTGATTTGGTAAAATAATTTGTTGATATTGATATGGTTTTACACTTATTCTTTTCCTACTTTTTTATTAACATTATTTACATTTTTCTTAGGTAGGCATTCTAGGAAATGCAGTTGATTTACATAACAATGGTAACACTAACGCTATGGCCAGCAACTCAGACAGAAAGGCAATGATTATAGCCTTTGACATGAGGTATGTAACCTAATCCAAGGTTTAAGTAATAGAAATCATGGAAATCTACCTTACGAACTCATGCAGGAACTTTTACAACGCCATCTCATATGTTATTTTTTATTATTTTTTTCCTGCTGCTCAGATGTGTTGGATTCATGATGGCTAAGATGGTTTTAAAAGAGCTTATGGATGCTTCAACGTTTACAAAATTTAAGTTGTTTCTAAATAAGGTTTGATGAGAAAAATCTGTGTCCATGCCTTGTTACTTCTTGTCCTGTTGAAAAAAGTACTTTGTTTTCCTTGAACATAGCAGTTCTTTGTGAAAGTGAAGAAAAGTGCCAATTTAATTCACTCATTTTAAATTAAGCAGCTGCCTCTTGTTGTGGCTGGTTTTTTTTGGAAGATTTACGTACATAGCACTTAATTCTTATGTATTCAGATATGTTACATCTATGCCACCTTATCTATGCATGAAAAGCTATGTATTCAGATATCTAACACCTAAAATTCATTTGTTACATCTATGCCACCTTATCTATGCATGAAAAGGTGTATTTCACTTTTTAAAAGTTTAAAAGTAGTATTTTTGATGTGATATGAAAGATTATTGGATTTATAAATGTAAAAAGTATAGTTTAGGTGTTAGATATGTAAAAACATAAGAATTGGGTGGCATGTATGTAAATGCCCCTCATGTATGTAAATGCCCCTTTTTTTATTTGGTTTGAGTTCAGAAACATCTATTTGTCACGTGCAATATCTTAGATTTTGCTGCTTATGGAGTGCAGGGAAATGACTCTTCATGCCTACGAGAATTCCTTTTGCCAATTCTATGTCAAGACTCTCCATGTGGAAATGCTGGTTTGCAAGTGAATAATCTTTCTTCTTTTGTAGCCATCTAAATACCCATTATAGAACTGTTTACTGTCATGATATGATGGACATCATTTTCTTACCAAGCAAATTCATCTTTTTTTATTTTTTATTTTTTTTACGTTTTTTCTTTTATTAACAGATGCTGGATAGGAATTGGGGCGCTGGTTGGAACCTGTTATCTTTGTTTCTTGCTACAAAACCATTTGCAAGAATAAGGTATTATGACAGTCTGGGATGCTGCTGCATTTATAACAGTTTACAATCTTATCTGTATATTTCTTTTGGTATCAAGGTTGATTTTGTAAGATATTTTTATCTCTTTTATCATTCCTGGTTGAAAGTTTTAATCAAATTCATTAGTTACATTTTGTTTTTATTCTACATATGAAGCAGTTGCTAAATTTTAACGTTCTGCATCTTATTGCAGTTGTTTGGATGCATTGAGGCATCCATTTCTTTGTGGACCTAAATGGCGCATAGACCCATCTATGGATTTAATCAGGTGGGGATTAGGATCTACTGCCGTTCGAATGGCAGAAGATTATATCTATGGAAGGCATCAGGTACGTGCAATCCTGAAGATAGGTATTTTTTCTAAATTTTGTTAGCTTACTGTGTGGAATGAGATGGAAACCATTTAGTATTATGGAGAATAGCATCATTTTCTACCTCTGATTCTCATAGTTAAATCATTTTCTATATTTAAACCTCGCAATATTTTGAATTGCTTTGGTAGTAACAAAAAAAAAAAAAAAAAATTCAATTCTTTTTAAAAATGGTGAAATTGTTGAGCATATACATGAATATGTTATGACTAGCAAATTTTCAAAGGCCACGGAGGTGCTTATTTAAATCATTTTCTACCTAAACCATTTCACAACATATTGAGTTGCCTTGGTAGTAACCAAACAATTTTGTTTTAATTCAATGATTTTAATGACGGTTAAATTATTGGAATACACATGAATATGCTATAACTAACAAATTTTCAAAAGCCAAATTGGTGCTTCACTTTTCAACCCTTTTTTTGCTTGCTGAATTTTTTTTTTGGATAATTGTTCCTCAGTCATGATTTGACCTGCAATGCTCTATGGCGCTGAATGTTGGCCTTTAAAAGAGAAGCATAATAATAAGTTAAGTGTTGCCGAGATGAGAATGATTAGGTGGATGAGTGGCTTTACACTTAGAGACAAAATGCGGAATGAATATATTCGTGATAGGGTTGGTGTAGCTCCTGTGACAGACAAAATTAGAGAAAGTCGTCTTAGATGGTTTGGTCATATTAAACGTCGACCATTAGATGATCCGATTAGGAGAGTAGATGCTTTAAATTCGACTTGTGTTAAGAAAGGCAGAGGTAGACCTAGGAAGACTTGGGCTTATTGTATTAAAAATGATCTTAATTTACTAAAACTAAATGAAACAATTTTGTTTTAATTCAATGATTTTAATGACGGTTAAATTATTGGAATACACATGAATATGCTATAACTAACAAATTTTCAAAAGCCAAATTGGTGCTTCACTTTTCAACCCTTTTTTTGCTTGCTGAATTTTTTTTTTGGATAATTGTTCCTCAGTTACTCCTATGAACTTTAATTTGGAAATATACAAGCATACATTTCTAATGTTTGGTTTAATGTGCTAGCGCCGGAGACTAGCTTATTTGATTGAACTGATGGAATTACTGAATCCCCAACCCAAGATAAAGGTAGCATACCCTTTTAACTTTTATTTGTTTTTGTATTTCTTGTGAACTTAATTTTGAACTTGCACATGTATATGCGATGCCTTGAATCTTGCGACCTTCTGGTGGAAAAAGTTCAAGTTACCAACCAATAGGCTGGGTTGGGTTACATATGTCCTGTACCTGTTGTGCTGTGTTTTTATTTTTTTATCATTTATGTGGGATTCTTGAAATAACATAATAGCTAGAATTTCCACTGTTAACTTCTGATTAAAATGACCGTTGAGTTATTAGCAGAATACTTCTCAGATTAGCAATCTCTGGGGCAGATAAATGCTTTGTGTCTATTGGTTTAAGCATTGATGTAGAAAACGAGGGTTAATCACTTTTTTTTTGTGCAATTTATTTCTGCATCAATCTCAAATTAAAATTATAAAACTCTTTTTCTGAACAACAATGACTCTTGAGCACATCTAGGCTGCTGACACAAGATTTGGGATTCAGTTGTTTTTAATTCTATATCATCAAAGTTCCTTCAACTTGCTAGTCTTTTTTAAAACTGCTCATGGTAGCTCAATGATAATTTTTCTCTTATCTACTTTTTAAAATTTTTAATTATTTTTTTTATTTGTATTTAACTGCATTTTCTTAGCCCTTTTTAACATTACTCCCATATTACTACATCATCTATGAATGCTTAGTAATTTTTACACTCCCACTTCCTTTGATTTATAACATGCAGAACTGGTTGGACATTCTCCATGGCCGATGGCGCCTGTTGTACTGCACAGGCAGACACCTAGGCCTAACTCTTCGCCAACCTACCCACAGAGTCATCATTGGCAGCGCAGTCCTCACTTTCACAAAAGATAACAACTCTGAAGAGCCTTCCCTTCTACTTTCTTCAGACATAAGCTTCAAGGTCATGCCAATCTCTTCATGGCCTCATGACAAATCCGGTTTACCTGGAAGCCTGCTAGTGAAATCTAGAGCCAAAATAACATCCGGTACACGATTGTACCTCAAAGAAGAAGACAGCCCCATTCCCAGCCAGTTCAGCTCTCAGGAATCCATTTCATCCGCCCTGCTGAGCAAGAAATGGAAGGGAGTAGGAGGGCCTGTTAAGGAGCTTCCCTACAGTCTCCCAGCTGCAAAACTGCTCCAAGGCGAGATCGACGTGTCGTTGAACCTGGAGCAATCACCGCCTTCAAATATTGGTGAGGCGCAAACCGTGCTCAACGAGGTTAGAACTCAGATCCCACCTGAAATGTTTGATATTTCTAAGCTTATTTGTGGTACCTATATTGACTCGAGGATGTTGGTCCTTCGTGGGGTTAATGGGTCTGCTTTACTCTTCACGAGATCATGTGCTTTAGATTAGCTGTATACTTGTCATATATTGTATATTAACAGTGGTATTCGTTAGTTGTATGTATTCTTCAACTTTTTCTTAGATCATTGTTAACATTCAGGGAATTTGTTTCTATGCATATTAATTGTGCTTTGTTGTTATGCTATTTTGAACCATTAGTTTTATAACTATGCAGCCTTTAGAAAAAAAAAAAAAAGATTTTTTTATTAATTTTGCAATGTAATTTTACTAATAATAATTACTCTATATGTGAAGTATGAAGAAAAATATATATATCTGAAGTAAGTGTGTACATCACTAATTGGTTTTGTTGTGTGAAAAATTATTCCTGCATACGGTGTCTGATCTCCACCGTTAATCACAACAAAGTTGGATAACGGTGTGTGATTAAAGGTGGACCTTATTTTTTATTTTTTTATTTTTTAAAACTTGATTGATGTTGGATGGACGGTAGAGATCAGACACCGTATGCATTTCTACATAGCATTTCTACATACGGCGTTCGTATGGAATAATTTTTCGGTGCATTGGGTATGAATCCTTTGAAGGCAGTTATTTTAATGAAATTTAAAAATCATTCATTTTTAAAAATTGTTGTAATATTTATGTTATGATTTGATCTTACTAAATATTTTAGAGGTGTCAATTTTAAGAGGGTACAATGCTCACCAAGTTTAGCAAATAATCTATGTACCCTCACCAAGTTTAGCAAATAATCTATGTATGTTTGATACCCAATAAAAAAAAAGGGAAAAAAATGAAAAGATAAGGTCCTTGGTTGTAGGTCAGCAAGCTTCATTCACTACAACTGTGATACATTCCTTATGATGCACTACTAATCGATGCTATTGATGAAATATGATCATATCTTGATGAATGATTAGAGACTGTATGAGGAAAATGTTGCAGGATGGTCATTTGTACTTTTACCTATGTATATATGAGTTCAATTATTATCTCTTTTGAAAGATAAAATCATTTGTTCATCATTGTATATAATTTAAACTATTTCAGGTTGGGGCTTCACCTCCACCTTGAGGTTTAAACACAACTCAATTTTAATTTCAATAACAAACTTAAATTAATCAAACTTATGTCAATTCAAAAAAGACCTTAAAATGAAATTAAATTCAATCAACTCAAGTTTTCAGCTCAAGTAAATCAATTTTTACCAAGCCCATCCAAATCTTCGAGTTCAACTCAAATCATTTGAAAATTCTTAAATCCGTCCATTTGAATCTTCAAAATTTGTCATCCCACTACATTTATTGATGCTCGTTGTAAAAGATATAAACCAAAACTTTAATCAAGATTATTCTCAGGGGCCGCCACTTTAGAGATGTAACTAATTGTGAGGGAGCCTTTTCGTAGGATATTAAAACCCATAATAAAATAAATCATATCTTATACCCTTAAGATAAAAGAAAAACTCTAGTTTTATAGAGGAGATTGTATGAGGAAAATGTTGCAGGATAGTCATGTGTACCTTTACCTATGTATATATGAGTTCCATTATTATCTCTTTTGAAAGATAAAATCATTTGTTCACATTGTATATAATTTAAACTATTTAAATTTATAGCTTTATTTCAGGTTGGGGCTTCACCTCCACCTTGAGGTTTAAACACAACTCAATTTTAATTTCAATAACAAACTTAAATTAATCAAACTTATGTCAATTCAAAAAAGACCTTAAAATGAAATTAAACTCAACAAACTCAAGTTTTCAGCTCAATTAAATCAATTTTTACCAAGCACATCCAAATCTTCGAGTTCAATCAAATCATTTGAAAATTCTTAAATCCGTCCATCTGAATCTTCAAAATCTGTCATCCCACTACATTTATTGATGCTCGTTGTAAAAGATATAAACCAAAACTTTAATTAAGATTAAGATTATTCTCAGGAGCCGCCACTTTAGAGATGTAACTAATTGCGAGGGAGCCTTTTCGTAGGGATATTAAAATCCATAATAAAATAAATCTTATCTTACACCCTTAAGATAAAAGAAAAACTCTAGTTTTATAGACCAATAAATCATTGAGATTTTCATTATCAAGGCAATTAGATTCATTCTAAGGTAATATTTCATTCTATTATGACAATTTATTATTCTTCAAATGCAGTATATGATCATTTAAATAGAAAGCTTTTAGGATTTATGATGGCTACATTAACAAAAAAAAAAAAAACTCCACCAACATTCACATTCTCCCTCTCTTCTCTCCATATTCGAAGCACCCCTACCCATTCTCACATTCTGCCTCTCTTCTCCCCATCATTGAAACACCCAATTATACATTTTCTCCCTCTCTTCACCACACGATCAAAACATTCCCCAACACTTGCACACTTTTTATTCTTTACTTATGGTCGAAACTCTAATCCTTTCGACACCTCGCTTTACCTTCTTCAAATCGAACCAAAACACTAACACTTTCCACACCTCTCTTTACCTATTTCCCCACCAAACCCTAACCCTCTCCACACCTTTATTTCTCTCTTCTCCCACAAAATTGAAACCTTAACCCTCTCCACACCTCTCTCCCTTCTTCCCCACCAAGTCGAAAACATAGGCCCTTTCGTTAGTCTTTCTTCCCATCTTTTTGACCACCCAAACCTTCCGTGCTCACCATCATTACCTTACCCTAAAACATAGGCCTCTCCCCACTCACTCTTCCAATCTTTCCCGCCATCCAAAACTTCCTCATTCAACTTAATTATCTTATCTGAACCCTAGGTCTGTTCTCACTCACTCTTCCTATCTTTTCCAATAGCCAAACCTTCCTTATTCACCCTTACTACTTTACTTAGAACCTTAGGCCACTTCGCATTCACTCTTTCTCTTTTTCCAACCATCCAAACCTTGCCCATTATCCTTCATTACCTTATCCAAAACTTCAACCAAAGCTCCCCTCCTTACTTCTTCTATGACTTATCTAAAATCTTAACCAATGCTCCTGTTCTCTCTCCCTCATCCATTTTCCTCTCTTGACTCCCTCTTCTAAATTACCAGAAAACCTCATCCATCTTCCTTTACTCACTCCGTCATCCACCTTTCTCTCCACATTGTTCTTAGAGAGTGTTGACCTCACTTTTGTGAGGACTCACTCACTCACCTCAACATAGCCCCCAGACCAGGGTTATGCCTCTTTGGGTCTCAACAGGAAAATCTCAAACCCTCAACCCCAGGTTGAGTTAGTTCAGGGTTTTGGCCTGGTAAGAAACCCAAAACCTTAGAAACCTCTCTATGAACCCTAGGGACTAGCATGACACCCAAATTCACACTGGGAGAGGGGTCTACCTAAACTGATCCCTAGCCTCACCTAAGGCCTTCCCAACCTCCAATTAACCCTAAAAATCAACTTAAAATTCTAGAACACCCCTTTGACCCTAAGAATTGATGGCACCATGGGTGGTCAAATCAAATTGAGCCTAACCCAATTTTGATCAATTCTTGACCAATTGATCCCATTGCCATACAATTGGGCCCTACCCAAGGTGGTCAAAACTTCAAACCACTTGGGTGGAGGGATCAAAATTGGCACCCCAGTGGAAACCCCCATACTTCATATAATTACTTAATTAGGTAAATTATGGAGACGTTTATTAGAGCCTAAACCTGTGGGATAAGCCCAAGCACATTAGCTTAGTTCTAATCTAAAATGATAAGGCTATGGCCCATCGCCCCCATGGCCCATCTAGCCCATTATGGCACATGAGTAATTTAAAATTTTTTAACTAAATCCTAAGCACTAAAACACAAGTTTAAGACACCTAGCCATGCCACCTCACACCTGACATGTAGGTCATGAACTTTTTGACCAGTCCTTGGTGAGCCAAGACCAGACAAAATTTGATCTTAGGTACCCACCAAAAGATCCACCGATTCAACCCAAGCCCTCCTCCATGCCACCTCCACTACTATTGGCACCACCATGGCCAATGCATGGAAAATTGGAAAAGCTCCTCCCCACTACCTAAAACCCCTGAAATTCTTTTGAAAATGCTTCGAGGAATTGCCTAAGCTTTTCACGCCAGCCAAGCTCACCCCATGAGCTTCTATGGCTATAAATAGTCCTAACACAAGAGGTATGAGACACCAACAAGGTCCCTAGGCAGCCTTCCAAATTCCTCACTCTCAATAGAGAAAACCTTCCCACTAACCAAGGCAATCAATCCCCAACATCCTCAATCCCTTCCCTCTACCATCAAACCCTAATTTCATCACTAAAACCCAGGGCCATTTTCGACCCTGACATCAAACTTCTCAAAACCCAAAACCAACTCTCTCAAAATCTTCATAGAAGCTCTAAACATCCCCCCATTAAAATTTGAGCTTTCCTGTGGCCTTTAACCCATCCCAACACCAAATTGTGGCAACATTTGGTCTAACTCATAGCTAGAGCCAAATTTAGTCCAAAATGAAGCTAGGAGGAGGTTTGTGACATCAAGATGAACCTCTTTGTCAAGTCCAATCGAGGCCTCACTTATAGGGACAAGATATGAATCCGAAATTTCAAATATTACTCTCGGTTTGTTATTTTATGAAGAAAATAAATAATGAGTACCCACTAAACCATATGTATAGCTTTGTCTCGATTAGATGAAGTTGTAGGAACAAACCTCAAACGATTTGGTTGAGAATCGGGCATGATATTAGGGTTTGATAACTGATGGTTGATACACCAAAAATAAATTCAATTTTTCATATGTATTTAAGACTAATTTTTGGTGTTATTGCACTTTAAAGAAAGATATTTTCATGTTTTCTTACAGGTATACTAAGTCTAAGCATTTGGAACTTAAATGATGCAAAAAGTATGAAATTTGGAGACAAAAGTGACATTTTCTAAAAATTGAACTGGCGCCTAGGCTCCAGAATTGACGTCTAAGCACCAGATTACATAGACAATTATTTTCACAAAGGCATCGAATTTAGACGAATTTTGAATAGGTGCCTATGGAGAATCTTGAGAAATTCATCCCTACATTATAAAATAGTGTTTTTATGTAAGAATGAGGGGGTAGGCGTGAGTCACTAGAGAGAATTAGTGAGTGGGGAGTGAGTTCTAAGTTGGTGGAGAGTGTGCAAGTGTCTCTA